GGAGTCTGTGCTCTGTCCCCGGACTCCGAACCCTCAATTCAGCTGCATGGTGCAATGCAGCGCCCAGCAGTTTTAAAATCCTGGGCCATGACATTATGTCATGCCCGGGTGTCTCCCCGCCCACCAGTTTGAGCATGCTGTGCATGGCAACAGCAACCAGCAAGGGGGAGCTCAATGGAAGTTGTGCACAGCAGGGACGGGATGGGGCCAAGGCCGGGGGGGTTGCTCTCTGCTGCCATTTCTCCTTCCCTTGTTCCATCCGCTCCCCTGGTGCCTGCTGCCTCCCCAACTCCTCACCCTCCTCTGCTGTCCTGATTCCTGCCCTTCTCAGGGCGCCCTCAGCCCTCCTGTGACCTGCCCCCGTCCACCAGCCCTTCTCTCCCCCTTGTGCCCACTCCTCCAGTAGCCCCACTCTGATCATATGAGCTACTCCTCCTCATCCCCTCTTCTAACACCTCCCTCTACACACCTGCCCTGCCTCTCTCCTCTGGTGGGGGTCCCTCCCCTGCAAGTGTCTGCCCTTCTGCTTCACCTCCAGAATCCCCTGGCACCTGCACCTTCTCTTACTCCTTTACTCTCCTGGTGCCTCCCCCTTCCCTCACTGCCCCTGCCCTCTTTGCCCTCTTTTTCCCTGATGCCCGCCCCTTCACCATCTTCTGCCTCCATTTCCCTCATGCCCCTGTGCCCTCACACGACTTGCGCCATCCCTGCCTTCCTCATGCCCACCCCTTCTTTCAAGCCTTCTCCCAGCACCTCCTCCTCCAGCCCCCAAAGCCCTTACCCTTTCCCCTCACAGCATCATCCTGTCCCCCTCCCCTCCTGCCTTTTTCCTCATTGTCTGCACTTGCCCCCCTGGCATTTGTCTCTCCTTTATCCTGTCCCCTTGGTGCCTTCCCCTTTTCCCCCCCCTCTCCCCTCCTCCTCCGCGCAAGTCCCTTCCTCTCCCAGCTCTCACCTTCCCCTACCTTCCGCCTTCCAGTTTGTGGGGCTGGAGTCTGTGCTCTGTCCCCGGACTCCGAACCCTCAATTCAGCTGCATGGTGCAATGCAGCGCCCAGCAGTTTTAAAATCCTGGGCCATGACATTATGTCATGCCCGGGTGTCTCCCCGCCCACCAGTTTGAGCATGCTGTGCATGGCAACAGCAACCAGCAAGGGGGAGCTCAATGGAAGTTGTGCACAGCAGGGACGGGATGGGGCCAAGGCCGGGGGAGAGATGCTCTGGGGCTGGGGTGGGAGGACGTGTATGGGGGGGCAGGTTCCGCTCCAGCTCCAAATATTGGTGGAGCCTGGGCACCACGAGCCCATACAGCTCGCTGCCCATGCTGGCACCTATGTGTGGGAGATTTTCCCTTTGGGGGGTACGTCTACACTAGCCCCCTAGATCGATCTAGGGAGGCTAATGAGGGTGACCGAAATTATAAATCAAGACTGGGATTTAAATATCCCACGCTTGATTTGCATGTTCCCAGCTGGTCGCCATTTTAGAAATTGACTAGCCCAAAGTAACTGCCCGCGTCTACACGCGTAAGTGAAATGGGATTCCGATTTAAAGCCTTAACTCGAATTAGCTGGTATTCCTCCTGCAATGAGGTTTATCAGCTAATTCAATTTAGGGCTTTAAATTAGAATCCCATTTCACTGCCGCGTATAGACATGGCAGTTACTTCAGGCTAGTCAATTTCTAAAATGGTGACCGGCCAGGAACATGCAAATCAAGCCCGGGATATTTAAATCCCAGGCTTGATTTGCAATTTTGGTTGCCCTCATTAGCCTCCCTAGATCAATCTGGGGGCTAGTGTAGATGTACCCGGAGTGAATAATGATAGAATTGCTCTAAAAGCTTATATAACTCTCTAGATGTTGATCAAGCATGCTTAGCTACAAAGTGTGAGAGCTCAGGATGGTGGTGAGCCAGACTAGAATCTCTCATGACATGTGCCTGTACTTACTGAACACTGAGGGTGCATCTAGACTGACAAGATTTTGCCAGCTGTCTACACTGGCTGCTTGAATTTGCGCAAGAGCACTGACTTTGTGTAAGAAGTACTGATTTTGTACATTACAAATATTTTCACACTCCCGCTCAGGGATAAGTCCTCTTGCACAAGAATACTTGAGCAAGAGGGCCAGTGTAGACAGGCACCTTAAATTTTTGCGCAAGAAAGCCCCATGGCTAAAACGGTCATCGGAGCTTTCTTGCACAAAAGTGCATCTAGATTAGCACGGATGCTTTTGCGCAAAAGCACTTTTTGCACAAAAGCATCGTTGCCAATCTAGATGCTCTTTTGTGGAAATACTTTTAACTGAAAAACTTTTCCATTAAAAATATTTCCACAAATTCATGCCAATCTGGACGCAGCCTGAATGACTTTGACTCTCCAATGGCAGTTGTGGCCACTCAGCACCTCAGAGGATAAGGCCTCATGTGAGGGAATTAAGAAGCTATTCTGCATGACAGCAGTGGTTTTAGGAAACACCACTCTTACCGAACTAAGATAGAAATATAGCCATGTTGCCTGGTGTAGCTGAAACAAAAAACAGGACTATGTAGCACTTTAAAGACTAACAAGATGGTTTATTAGGTGATGAGCTTTCGTGGACCAGACCCACTTCCTCAGATCAAATAGTGGAAGAAAATTGTCACAACTATATACACCAAATTATATCCGTGCGGGCTTAATATTTGCAAATAGTTTGGATTGTTCCAGTAGAAACTACTAAATTAAATGGACAAATACTATTTTATTAAAATATTGATAATTTGATACAGACCTGTGAGTTAACTCAAGGTTCTCTCCATCTTAACTTTTATATATTGATGACTCTTAGTGGAGCCTACTACATGCAATTTCTATATGCTTTTTATGGTATTTCCTACTGTACTATTACCAAATGAACACTTCCTGAAGATCTCTAAGGTATCAAACCGATTTAAGGTGCCTTTTCTGGGGAGTTAATTGTAGGCAGTGAGAAAAGCTCCTTCAGGATTATGTGTCGTGCTGACATTTATGTAGCTATTGTAAGCTCTTTGGGCAAGGATCTTCTCTTATATGTTTGAACAATACTTAGCATAGTGGGGATGTGGCCTCTAGATGCTAGCGTAATTTAATAATTACCCCTACAATAGAAGGCATGATCATATATCACTGTATATGTTGCTTATCTCTATATACTCCACATCTGTGAAGAAAAATGTTTATTGGTAGGGCCCGTAATGGTCCATTCCTGACCTCTTTTCAGATCCTTACATCCAGGCTATATCAATACCTTTCCAATTATTTCCATATAACATATATAGATATGACTCTCATCATCTTGCATCTTGATAATTGCTGCATCCTTCTCTAGCCTTGACAGATAGTCTTGCTCCTCTAATATTCCTTCAGAATGCTATTGTAAAAATATTTTTCCTAACCCATTGCTTTGACCCTGTTACTTCTCTGAATCCCTCCACTGAATACTCTGTCTCTGTCACATCAAATATAGATAGAAATGCCCACAAAACAGATATTAGACAGGATCACAAAGAAAAAACAGTTTCTTGCCACTTCAACCAGAAAGGACACTGTCTCAACGACTTGATTACCTGCATCCTGCTTCAAAGGCCTTTTAAGACTACACTTGAAAGAGAAACCTCTGAACTGTCATTCATGCTTAAATTCAACACTTTATGCCTAAGTTTGAATAAAGACTCCAATTCTTACCCATTACAAAGATAGCTTCCCCAATTATCACCTCTAATATCATTAGCTCACAGACATTTACTCCCCTCCATCCCCCTTCTGTTCTGAAATTTGATTTGTCCTTTTCATATTTGTTCATTTTTTTAATTGTATCCTTTGGTATATATGGTTGTGACAATTTTCTTCCACTATTTGATCTGAGGAAGTGGGTCTGGCCCACGAAAGCTCATCACCTAATAAACCATCTTGTTAGTCTTTAAAGTGCTACATTGTCCTATTTTTTGTTACCGAACTAAGTAAGCTTTCAAATACACGTATTCTCATGTATTTTATTTCAAGAGTTCTCATCTTGACCAGCCCACTGCGGATTGAACTGGGGGACATAAAAAAGCTGAAAGCATGCATTACAACAGGTGGGGCAGCGCGACTGGCCGGGAGAGATGGGGAGGTCAGGAACAGCATGGCTGACTGGAGGGGATGGGGGAGATTGGGGCGCCCCATGACTTTCAGGGGGCAGGGGCAGCTGGGCTGTTGGCATCCTGCCGCATGGTGCTGCTCCCCCCTCCTTCTTCTCTCACCGCCTTTGTCTCTGCACTGCCCGGCGCCTTCCCTTCCGTGCTCTGCTCTGCTGGCTCCACCGCCCGCACAATTGCCTTGGGCAGCCACAGGCAGATCGAATAACACAGAATGTCGGATAAAGGAAAGTCGGATAATCGAGACTCTACTGTATGTCTTTTTGCAGCGTGGGCACAGAGGGGAGAAACTAAACACTCACTAGCGGGTTATATTAGCTCATACTTCAAGTTTTGCTGTTTTTAATGTCATATCCTATCTTTCATTCTGTTAACAACCTACAACACCAGGAGGACTGATTTTTATTTTCAGACAATATGGCACTTATTTGTGTTCTGATTATAGCAATACTATGCTAAAATAGCTACCATAGCAGAAAATATTTTGTGACTTGTCTTTCAAACTAATTTGCCTACCGAAGGACTTTTTAGAGATGTAAAGCAAATGTTATCCAAGTAGAGATGATACATATGCTGTTGTTACTGCAAATTTATGTTTAGATTATGCAACTGGTATGAAATTAACATAACACCAGCTATATGTTTCTGACTTTTTTTCAAGTATAAAATTGAGACAATGGGTATTTGTTTTTTTGGTTTTTTTTTCTGGGAGGTATTTTAAACAGTTGTAAGAAATATATCTACTTTATTTTATTTTCTTACTAAATGCTGTAAACTTTTCATGCCACTGAGTATCCTTTTGTTTTGAAAACACAGTGAAATGACATCAGAGACCTGTATGATACAGATTGTGATAGTTTTAATTGTGGTCTGTCAGTTATCTGAAGAAGGATGCAGTCTTGATTTTAAAAAATAAAATTGTAAATTAAGAAACAGTGATATTCTCAAAATACTTCATTATTGATTACATTACACTCAGTATAAATACCTTATGTCGCTTTATAGGAAATCTAAAAGTACCCTTTTTTGGGACCTTACAGTTTGTAACCCTTACCTGAGTGATCTCCACTCATGCCTACAGCCCTTTTACACTCAGCAGGACTACTTGCTTAAATACAAATTGTTCACACGAGTATGGGTTGCAGGACCAGATATGAATTGTGGAGGCTGTTACATTAATGGACAATCTCCAGGATAGAAAGAATCATGCATTTTATTTTTGATGTGTTGATCTGAATTTGATGCAAATAATTGTTCACTGTATCTCAATCAACAAGATAGTCTTAGACTTAATTACTTCTTAAGATCGAAAATATTGAATTGTGAAATGGAAGATCTTTTAATATTGATATGAATAAGCTACCACATTTTGGCAAAACAAAATTTTATATCCAAGAAGAAGTATAATGAATAGTCATAGAATTATGATTGTACAAACATTTGAACTAAAATATATCGATTCACCTTGACAGTATTTACAGTATTATAATAATACCTAGCTCTTATATAGTGTTTTCATCGGTAGATCATAAAGCACTTTACGAAGAGAGTTAGGTATCATTAGCCCCCTTTTAAGGTGGGGAAACTAAAACCATTTTTAAATGTTTTCCCAATTCTGCATTTTTCATCTTAAATCCATCAAACTTGCTGTTGTATTTAGCTTCAGACTTCTGCTTCCATACATTTTACTGTGGCCTCAGGCTTGGCTTGAGGCTCTTCTGCTTTTTTCCCATTATTCCTTGGTTCTTTCTCAGGAGCTTTGTCACATGATTTAGCTTCTTTGATGACTTTGGGCTCAGTCATTTCTCTTTGCTGCTTGTTTGAGAGTGGGAAGGTTTTCTTGTACCTTTACATAGACATATTAAAGCAAATTAGAACAGGTACACTACCAGATAGCGCATTAATCACAGAATAGATGCAGTTCAGAGCATCAAGAATTATCAACAGATCCTTCAGGTTATACTCAAGCAAAACTCTCAGTAAAGCCAAGGCAGTGCTGAATTAGCCACCCTCAAGTGGTCATTTGCGGTTTTTTAGACTTGCGTCTTAAATATTTTTACATCAAACAATATATATATATATATCAGAAATAGCAGTACATAATGATGAAACTAGATGGAATGCAATTTCTGACATGCTGCTTGTAGATCTAATTGGTTTGCATGTTTGCCTACATCGCTATATAAGCTATATCTTTCTGAAAAAAATTAAAAAATAGTCAATAGTCTAGCAGCACTTTAGAGACAACAAAACATGTAGATGGTATCATGAGCTTTCAGGGGTTACTCACGAAAGCTCATGATACCATCTACACATTTTGTTAGTCTTTAAGGTGCTGCTAGACTATTTGTTGTTTTGTAAGTTTTTCTACTTACAGACTAACTCAGCTACCCTTCTGAATCTTTCTGAAGACAACCATAATTCAAGAATAAGAACTCCTCTATCAGCACTGGAGTGGCAGAAATGTACAAGAAGAAAAACATACCAACACTACATGAAATACTTAAATGTACACAAATGATCTGACATGCAGAAATCATGCACCTGGCAAGTGACTGGTTAAGTTCCTTCTGATGACTGGCCATCAGTTACAACAGCAACAACATTTGTCTGCAGAGCTACAGATACTCACCTTTCACTCTTTTTGTCATATGTTTTAATTAAATCTATAGTATTTACAAATATTAATATTCATGAGACATAAGAAATAACTTACTTTTTGATATAGCAGACTGCAAGAACAGCAGATGCTATAAAGAAGATGAGTGCCAGTACAAGGAGAGCAATCGGTATTTCTAAAGATAAAAGAGTATTTATGTGTTTACCATGTTTTTAAAAAATATATATTTTCTTAATTCAGCCATTCTGAAAATTAATGTGCCAAAAGTCAGATTCTGCTAATGGCAGCCTTGAATAAGTGTGACCAGCCCCCATGGAAATCTCCAGTTCAAAGATCTCAACAGTGGCATCAATGACACTCACTTTCCACTGTCACCCATTCCCAGCCTCTAATATTGGTTAAGGACACCATTTCTACCCCTCCTGTCTAATAAGCATTGATGGACCTAACCTCCATGAATGTATCTAGTTCTTTGACTACCTAAATTTTTTAATGCAACCACATGCAATATACATAAATTGTCTTCCTAAAGAACAAGACAGTGTGTCATATATCTGAACAAAATCATTATAGTGGTTGTACTTCTCTAAATTCCTCTGCTTCAATAGGCAGTCAAGATTATTTTGAAATTATAATTGAAATTCAACAGTGACAAATATAATGAACAGGTCTGAAGTTGTTCCCGTTGAACTCAAAATGGGAAAACTAACTGACTTTAATGGAAAAAGTATTGGGTGTAAATGGCAAAGAGGTGTAAATTGCACTAATTTGCACTAATTTACACCTCTTTGCCAAAATAATCTTTGCAAGGCAGATCAGGAGCATTCCAATGATTTGCTCCTTTTTGTTTGTTCCCCAAACAGAGCAGCTCACTCAGCTGTCAGATACTTCCCAGAGCTTTAAAAGAGGAGGGGTGCATGCCTGCAGGGCAGCAGAGAGCATAAAGCACTGAGCACAGCCATTAGGAGAGGTATTATGGGATGTTGGTGGAAGCCAGTTCTCTTGACAAGACAAACAGCATAGTCCACACTGCCTCTTTGTCAACACATTTTTCTTTGTTGAGGAAAAAAGACAAACGTCTCTCATAGGGGTGAAAGTTTTTTGTCTGCAAAACTGGGCTTTTTTTCTTACAAAAGTCCTATTGCACTGTAAACACTCTCACAGTTCTGTCACCAAAAGGCAGTATTTGGTTACAAAACATGCCAGTGTAGACAAGTTCTAAATAACATACTTGTATACATTATTCTACATAATATTTTCCAAACAGTACAGTAAAAGTTGAGAATCAGAAAGGTATAGTGGTTATTGGCATGTAAGAAAATGCCACAGTTTTGCTTTCCTTGTTTAATACTAGATATTGTGTGGCTGTTTGATTGCTCTATCCTTGCAAGTGTGAGAACCAATTAGGTTTTTCATTTGCACAAAACAGGTAGCATATGTTGGTGCAATTCCCATTAACTTCCTCTGAAGAAGGAACAGAATTTATGAGGAACAGAATTCCACTGATTCTGATTACAAAGCTAAGTGAGGTTATACTTAATACTCACAGATATACCAATAATTAATTGGTAAGGAAAGGAGTTTTTTTATGTTACTAGATTTGGCTTTGCAAATCCTTACATTTTTATTCTGCCCTCATAAATGCATTTGTGTCCTTGTTTATGGTTAGAACTGTGCACACTAACCCACTATAAAACATTATTTAATAACTACGGGTATGCCTAGTTCAAACTAGGGTGGCTAATGTAGTCATTCAAACTTGCAAATGAATGAGGAGTAACGGTAGTCCGAATTAGGGGCTTTAGTTCGAACTACCTAGCCACGGGCAGGGAGTCTGAACTACCGGGCATTTAAAAATGGCGGCGTCCGGGAACATGCAAATAAAGTTCATTTGCAAGTTTGAATTACTACATTAGCCACCCTAGTTCGAACTAGGGTGGCTAGTGTAGACATACCCTGAGGTACAGATAACAAAGACTTATAGTCTTCACCTCCAAATTCAACACTATCATTTCTAAAGGCAGCTTGGTTTCCATTAAGCAGTGTCAGCTCCTCTTGACTTTCCACAGTAGTCTGTATGGTTGGTAAAATGGTTTCTGTTACACATTTCAAGCGGAAGTTCTTCAGCGGTATTTTGGTTTTTGGTGACTCAGTAGCATTAGGTATCTCAGTGCTGCCCTGAGATGAAGCTGTTGTAGATGCATTTATTTCTGAAGGTGTTGAAGGTAACAAGGTTGTATTTGTTTCTGGTATGCATGAATTAATCCAAATATCTGCAAAGAGGAAAAGGAAAAGTAATGAGTTGCACTGGATGCTGTTGCAAAAATTAGCATATACGTGAAGCAAATTACATGTAGATCTATTGTAGTGAGTATTTTCAAAAGTTTTTCTGAAGGCATTTAGTGTGGTAATCACGTGACTTCTACTAATACCTGACACTAGAGACAGACAAGGTGGATGAGGTAATATTTTTTATTGAGCCAATTTCTGTAGGGGTACATCTAGACTCCTGAATTTTTCTGGGATACCTCTGGTATCCCAGAAAATCTCTGCCATGTCCAAGGAACGCGTCTGCTTTTCTGAAAAAAAATTCAGAAAAGCAGATGCATTTTTTTGGCATCCCTGTAAACCAGTGGTCCCCAATGCAGTGCCTGCAGGTGCCATGGTGCCCGCCAGGGCATTTATGTGCGCCCATGGAATGATCTGGGCTGGCCCTGCCCCCGGGTGTGCGGCACATGTGCAGTGCTGGCACTGGGAGCGTGGCACGTGGGAGGCCCTGGCCCCGGGCGGCCCCACCCCCCGGCGCGCAGGCAGCCCCACCCCCAGGTGAGCACCACATGTGCAGTCCTGCCGTGGGTACGCGGAGTGTGGGAGGCCCTGGCCCCAGACGGCCCTGCCCCCGGCATGTGGGTGGCCCTGCTCCCGGACGCCCAGTAGCCCCGAAAGGTTGTGGACCACTGCTGTAAACCTTGTTCTACAAGGAAGAATGGATGTTCTGAAAGAGGCTTTTTTTTCTGATATTTGGCCCAGTGTAGATGGGCCAAATGTTAGAAAAGCCTCTTTGGGAAGAAAAACAGAAAAAGATACGCAAATTGCAGTACGCAATTCGTGTATCTTTTTCCAACTTTTCTTTGTAGTCTACACACAGCCTTGGTGAGGGAGAGGAACTCTCAGCCTTACACAGAGTTCTTCTTCAGGTCTCTCTGTAAGCTTCAAAGTTTTCTCTTATCAATAGAAGTTTGTCCTATAAAATACATTTTCTTGTCTCTCTAATATTGAATACTGAATACAAATATTAATATTGTTTATTATTATGTATTTATTCACAAAGGGTTAGATTTACATGTCTAATTTTAAGCATAAGATTAGTTCCAGATTACTCACCTGCTTAAAATTAGGCACATGCTTAAGTACCTTGCAGAACTGGGAACACGACTATGAATAAATTCTTTTTTATAATGACATACAAAAAACAAGGTCCTTGTAACAAAAAGCTTACAATGTCCTGCATGCACATGACAAGGAAACAAAAGAAATTGCAGGGAACAGCTGAATAAGAATCATCATAGAATCCTGGGGTTGGAAGAGACGTCACGAAGTCATCGAGTCCAGCCCTCTGCCCAAAGCAGAACCAAGCCCAACTAAATTATCACACAGGGCTTTGTCAAGTCTGGACTTAACCTGTAGGGATGGAGATTCTACCACCTCCCTAGGTAACCCATTCCAGTACTTCGTCACCCTCCTAGGGAAATAGTTTTTCCTAATATCCAACCTAGACACCCCCCACTGTAACTTGAGACCATTGCTCCTTGTTCTGTCATCCATCACTACTGTGAACAGCCTTTCTCTAGCCTCTTTGGAATCTCCCTTCAGGAAGTTGAAGGCTGCTATCAAATCCCCCCTCATTCTTCTCTTTTGCAGACTAAACAAACCCAAATCCCTCACCCTCTTCTCATAGGTCATGTGCTCCAGCCCCCTAATCATTTTGGTTGCCTTCCGCTGGAACCTCTCCAATGTGTCCACAACCTTTCTGTAGTGGCAGCCCCAGAACTGGACACAATACTCCAGATGTCGCCTCATCAGTGCCAAATAAAAGGGAATAATCACTTCTCTACATCTGCTGGAAATGTTTCTCCTAATGAACCCTAATATGCCATTCGTCTTCTTGGTTACAAGGGTGCACTGTTGACTCATATCCAGCTTCTCATCCACTGTAATCCCCAGGTCCTTTTCTGGTGAACTGCTGCTTAGCCAGTTGGTCCCCAGCCTGTAACAATGCTTGGGATTCTCCCATCCCAAGTGCAGGACTGTGCACTTGTCCTTGTTGAACCTCATCAGATTTCTTTTCACCCAATCCTTCAATTTGTCTAGGTCACTCTGGACCCTATCCCTGCCCTCCAACGTAATCTAGACGTGCTTTTCCGAAAATGCTTTTAACGGAAAACTTTTCCTTTAAAAGCATTTTTGGAAAATCATGCCAGTCTAGACGTAGCCTGGTAGCTTAAACAATGAGAAGTCCTGTGGCACGTTATAGACTAACAGATTTATTGGAGCATAAGCTTTCATGGGCAAAGACTCACTTTGTCAGATGCATCCTGTATGCGATGGCTTTAGTAATAGAATAGTGGGATAGGAAAGGGTTAATGTATCTTCTAGAAATTATTTGTACCTAATATTTCTTTTTAGAAAATATGAAAGACCCTGTGGCAAAATCATCAGTTGGGTCAGTACACAGATGGATATGTGTGACCGAGTTCCTTGTGAGCTTGTGATATCTAAATAAGGCCAGAATCTACCAGACCCAGCAAACCATCCTTTTGAATTAAAGAAGCAGGCCTTGTTGCACTTAACCACAAAACTCCCACTTTCTCCATGTCCAGGACCAAATCCAAGGTGGTAGCAGGTGGTTTTGTTCATGCATACTCAAAAGATGTCCCAATTAAGTATGTGTACCCACAAAATCTTAGGGTGTGGAACTCCAACTTTGGTGGGGGCAATAATGATGCCAAGAGAGGGAAAAAAGCTGCGGGAATAAGTAAGCTTGGGGCTCCAGACATTTCTATTTTCTACTTCAAGCCTTTCTTCCTGTAAGCTCTTAGTATTACTTTACTGATTCTTTCTAAGTTTCCTATTCCAACCTGGTGCCACAGTACCACAGGTGGAGGGAGGCTGGTCCTGCCACGTTTGTCCTTCAGGAGAAGGCGGTGTGAGTATAGGTTTTTATGTGAGGTAACTCCCTCTCTATACTTAGATAAGCATAATCTATGGACCCTGATTTGTATTAATGTTACCCACAGAAGTGGTTCAATCAATCTGTGTAATCATTGTTGAGTTCTTTGCCATTTTAATACCTGTCATAATAAAACTTGTAATTTGGTACTATCCTCATTGTAAGCTTGGGCACTATTGTGGACACCCAGACCTACTTCCAGAAGAATAACCATATGTGACCTGGGCTACGGAGGGTGAAACCTAGAACCTTCTAGTCAGATTGGCAAGCCTTACTCACAAAAATGTTATTATATCCCTTTCCCAGGCTACACTGCTGGTATTCTCACATAATTTGAAAACTATAAAGTTATCACTGTGGTAACCAGCTGAATATGTTTAAAAAATAATGGGGGGAAATGACTTATGTACAGTTCTTAATATGAGTCCCTTGTGGGAACTCTGACGCATTTTCATTCACAAAGTGAGGGGATAGATGACAGAGAGTTATATTTTTTTCCTGTGCTCTTTAAATGACTCTATACAGTGCAGCTGGAAGGAAAAAATGCAGCAAAATGAACTTTTGCCAAATACTTTTGTTGTCAGAGCACTAGCAAGTGACAATTTGGCCATTACAATAAATGATGATTCTTCATTCTCTATGTTAAATAAAAATTGCTCCCTAATACCATTTAACAGGCTTAACTTGTTCTACTAAATATGCTCTATTAATACAATGACAACAATAGTGACAATAGTGTACAATAGTGACAATTCTTTGTAGTTAAGCATGCAGAAGTAAAGAACACAGAATTAAGATGGCCACTTTGTCTTTACACAATTATCTTATTATTCATAGGTAGGGCCTTATCAAATTCACAGTCTATTTTGGTCAGTTTCACAGACAGAGGATTTGAAAACCCATTAGTTTCATGATTTCAGTTATTTAAATGTGAAATTTCACAGTACTGTAATTTTGATCTGACCCAAAAAAGGAGGGGGGGTCACAAGGTCATTGCAGGGGGAGTCTGAGGTATTGCTAGCCTTACTTCTGTGCTGCTGCTGCTGTTGGGGTGCTTTGCTTTCAGACCAGGATGCCTGACCAACAGCTGCAGCTGCCCAGCTTTGAAGGCAGCACACAAGTAGGAGTGGCAATACTGCAACATCCCTAAAATAACTTTGTGACGCTCTGCAATTCCTTTAAGAGCCAGGATGCCCAATTTGAGAAACACCGGTCTCCCTCATTAAATCTAATTTGTATAGGATAAAAGCACACAGAAGACCAGATTTCACAATCCATGTCATGTTTTTTGTAGTGAATTTGAATTTACCAGGGCTCTTTTCAATGTTTCCTCTAATTTTTTTCTTCCATGTGCAGAATAAACTTTATTATGTGCACTGAGGCATATGTGGATGTACACCACTAGCAGCACCACATGCTGCTGGCTGAGGGCACTGTGGGTGTTCTGTTAAGCAGCTAGGCGGCATTTGAATCTCTCCTGCATGGCTGCCCGAATGCTCAGCTTACACAGAACACTGGCCTTATTCATAGGTACAGTACAATGAATCCAAAACACTACCCAGATTTTTAAAAAGCTACATTGTAAAAGAACAGTTCAAGCATTCACAGATGTGGTATAGCATCTACAAAATCAGTGGCATTAGAAAAAAGGTAAAGAACACACAGTTTTAACTAACCTCTCACTTAGGTTCATAAACCCAACATGAAAGTTCTGAGCTGCAAAGAAGGATCAAGATTATCCTAATCATGTATTTTTTAACTGGACTGTTTAAATGGCTAATCCATTTCTGACACTCCTGTTCCTATGGATATGTCTGAGAGCTACCTCCATCCTGGATTTTTCTCACATCTCCAACAAGGCTACTTATGAAGGTGATTAATAAATTCCTTCTGGCCATGTCTAATAGCCTCTTCTCTAATGGCCTTATCCTCAGTGTTTCTGCCACCTCTCTCACATGAATGATCTCTGTCTGTTGTAATAGCCTCTCTTTCCAAGGGTGCTCTCCTCGCTTTTCAGCCACCGGCAGCTGTGCAGCAGGGGTGCAGAGTGGTGGTGGTCTGGGCTCCTGCTGGAGGGGCTGAATCTTGGTCAGAAAGAGCCAGGGAGGGGTGGGAGCTAGCCTCTCTGACCCTGAGTTTAACCCGACACCAAGGCCCAGAAGTGACTGGCAGTGATAGGGGATGTCAGACAGTGATCATTTAGTGACTGTAAGCATTGTGATAAAATATAAAGGTTGATAACTGTTAAAACACATTGTCAATATCTCATGTCAAAAAATACCAAGTCAATAGTCTTAAGACAAACTCTAATTAGTTCTCAAGCAGTGTTTTTCTTACTTTGCCAATCTGTTAATTTAGATGATTATTAATGGAAATATGTTTTCATTGGTTTGTGAGTCTACAAAGAAATGGATATTTATGGACATTTGCCAATAAAAATCAAATATTTCCAACCCCCTACTTATATCTAAGAGAGTCTTCAAATTATCACATGCAGTTCTTCCCTTCTTAAGACATTCCTTGAAATCTATTTGACACACAATCCAGTTCTAAGATCTGCACTACACACAGGTTTTGTGTCAGTATAACCCCTGGTGCGGACACAGTTATATTACTATGTAGGTGCTTTATACCAAGATAGCTCATTATTCTTCCCTTAAGATATATCAGTATAACTGTCCACACTCAGTGGTTGCACTGCTTCCTTATGAAGTTTTACTTTTTGTAGAGAAGCCCTAAGCTAAGAACCCTTGAGTAGGCTATTGTACATATTGCCAAGGGCTGGGTTGGGCCACGTTTGGCTCCAGAATCAGAGCTGAAAGGTGGCTTAGAATAACTTTTCTCTGTCTCACCTTGGGGTGCTCTGCTGAGTGCAATTCAGTCCAATTTAATGGTCTGACCCATTGTGCTAGGTTTCAGTGCTAATCAAATCTGAGCATTCATTGATATTTTCTATCAAATAACTTTGAATAGGGTTGGTAAGTAATTTTGCACAAGGCTTTTTCATCTGAAAACACTATTTAGTTAAATCCAATACATTTCATGGGACATGGGCAGTTTGAAGAATTTTTAGAATTAAAAAATGTTTGGAAAAAAATTAGAGTTTTCTGGTTTAAAACAATTTTTCATTTAAGCTAACTGTATTAAAATTTTAAAAGGATAAAATAAAATGATATTCTATGCTTGACAGGAACAGAATTTTATTTTCAGTTTGTGAAAAAAAAAATCAAGATTTCGACTTTTCATCCCAAATTGGGATGACAAAAATTTGTCCAAGTCTCAAAAATTTTCACAGAAGATAAAAGCTGTTTCCCCACCCATCTCTAACTTTGACTTAAAACAATGAGTGTGTTCTGTCATAATTTGTGACAAAGAGAGGGCTAAATTAACTGGATAAACCATTCATTGCATGTAGTTTTTTCCAGCTCTGTTTTCATAAATCCATGACTCTTAAGGCTAGAAGGGAACAACAGGGTTCATCTAATCTGTCCTCCTGCATAACATAGGCTGGAGAAGATCATCAGTAATTTCTGTATCAAATCCAATAACTTGTGGATGATCTGGAGCAGGGGTGACCGATCCGTTAGAGATGAAGAGCCAAAATAGCGGTGGACAGAGTGTGAAAAGCCATGTACCAGGGGGCAAAGTTGTTGAGCAACACACACTAAAAAAGCAGCCGCACTGGGGGAAAATAGGTGCCGATATGTGTGCTGTCCTAGGAAGGGGGCTCCAGGCTGGACAGTGTTGGGATCAGGTGGATGGTTGGGGTGCTGAGCAAGCTGCAGGCTTGTGGCTGTGAGGGTGCAGGAGTTTGGGCTGGGGTGCATGGGGGGCTCAGGGCAGGGAGGCTGGGAGTATTATGGGCTCAGGACACAGATTTATAGTGTGTGGATGGTGAAGGAGTGTTCTGGCAGAAGACTGGAGATGTGGGGTTGCAGAAGTTTGGGGATATGAGAGGCTCAGGTCAGGGGCTTCCAGTGTATGATAGGCTCAGGTTTGGGTTCTGAGAGGGTGCAGGAGTGTTATGATGCTGTGGCCAGATGGGGAATTGGCCCCAATTGGAGATTTGTTGGGCAGGCTTCATTTTTAAATACAATATTATGTCAAACACAAGATGTTTCAGTGTTGTCTTTCTTTATGAGAGGGCCGGGGAACCCATTTTGAGTCAGGGGTCACTGACCCACAGAAAAGTTAGTCTGAGCCACACAAGTGAGATGCAAAAAACAACCCTGCCAAAAAAAAACAAGCCTCACTAATGTGACCCCCAACTGTGCTGGTGGGGGCAGAGGACAGAGTGCTGGGGCAAGGTTCTGGTGGTTGCTGGGGCAGGTGACAGGGTGCTGGGGCAGGGGACAGGGTGCTGATGGGGCGGGGAGGGTTGGCCAAGGGGAGGTGACAGGGAGAGCTCGGCCAGTACCTGAGGTTCCCGGGTCTCAGGAAGCACACAGGCTGCTCTTCCCCTCCCCTCTGCTCCCCTAAGCAGCTAGCACACTTTCTGAAACACCGGTTCTGTTGCTTGGCCAGTGACTTCCTTCGCCCTGCTGCCTGCCTGTGCAGGGTGTGTGTGTGTGTGTGTGTGTGTGTGTGTGTAGGAGTCCCAGGAGTGTATGCCAGCTCCAACTTCTCAGAACATGCGTGCTCTTCCTCTGCTCCCCACGACAGCCGCATGCTTCCTGAGAAGTTGGAGCTGGCATGCAGTCCCAGGATTCCTACTCCATCCTCAGGCAGGCAGCAGGGGGAAGTCCCTGGCCATGAGAGACCCAACACTGGCATGCAGTACTGGGATTCTTACTCCCTCCCCCCTGCCACTCTAACCCAATCCCCATCCCCTTCCCTCCCCCAGAGCCAGCCTCCTCCTGCTCTAACCCAATCCCCTTGTCCCCCAACCTTATGCCCAGGTCCCGGAGCCTGAGCCGATGCCACTGCGGCTACTGCCATGCACGTCTCTCTCCAAGTCTTGGGGTGTGTGCGCTGAGCGGTTGGCTTTGAACATATGCTATGTGCACCCTCCAACCCAATCTCCCTCCTCTCTCCTTCCCCTTTCTCTTCCCCTTCCCCAGAGCCAGACACCTACCCTTCCCGCTCTAACTCAGTCCTCCTTCCCCCCAACCTTATGCCCGGGTTCCAGAGCCAGAGCTGCTACCGCAGCTACTACCACACGCATCTCCCTACAGGTGCTGGATGTGTGCACTGAGCAGCCAGCTTTGAGCATGTGCTGTCTGGGACACCATGCACACCCCCCCTTCCCCAACATGATCCCCTTCTCCTCTTTTTCCCTCTCCTTCTCCCGAACAAGACATCTTCCCTTCCCCCACTCTAACCTTAGGCCCAGGTCCTGGAGCTGCCACGCTGCTGCCTGTGCTCAGCGGCCGGCTGCTAACACATGCGGGCTGGGACGCTGAGTGCAAACCCAGCCTGCATGTGCAGGATATGACGCAGTGCACTGGAGGCCGTGAGCAGAATGGCGTGGGCCGTGAGTACACATGTAGCTCAGAGCAGCCCGGCTGTGAGAGCGGCTGACCTGAGCAGTTCTGTGTTCTGTCCCAGTTCCATCAGGAGCTGCAATTTCTTTCCGTCAGGAGCTACGGTCTGGCCACTGCTGATCTAGAGCATATAATTCAGCATGACATAGACTCACAGACCTCTAGAAATCATCAAGTCCAGCCCCTCTGATTGGGCAAGATCAAGTAAACATTGACCATCTCTGCGGCTGTGTCCAGACTGCAGGGTTTTTTCAAAAAAAGTAGCCTTTTTTCGAAAAAACTTCACCTGCATCTAGACTACAGACGTGTTCTTTTGAAATTAAATCGAAAGAACGTGGCTTTTCTTTCGACGGTGGTACTCCTCATTTCACGAGGAAGAATGCCTTTTTTCAAAAGTGCTCTTTCGAAAAAAGGCGTTCTTGAATGCAAACAAGGCTTTTTTGAAAGAGAATATCCAGACTGCCTAGGTGCTCTCTTTCAAAAAAGCGGCGTGCTTTTTCGAAAGTACTGCTTGCAGTCTTGTTGCTCTTTTTCGAAAGAGGCTTGCAGTCTAAGGCTGTGTCCAGACTGCATCCCTTTTCCGTAAAAGGGATGCAAATTAGACACATCGCAATTGCAAATGAAGCGGGGATTTAAATCCCCCCCACTTCATTTGCATAAACATGGCTGGGGGGTT